CTCTGCGTAGCTTTGCGCCTTTTCTGGAGCTCACTTGGTAGCCCAGGCTGGCCTCGAACTCACAGAGATCCGCCTGGCTCTGCCTCCCGAGTGCTGGGACTAAAGGCGTGCGCCACCACCGCCCGGCAATTCTAAGTATTTTGAGGAGCAACATAAGGAACATAATCTTATTCAGGCTTATAAATAAGACTACTATCCAACACAAGAGAATAAAAATACTTTAGTGATAGCTTGGAAAAACTGACAACTTAGTTTATCATTAGGAAATTTTCTCTGTCTAAAACAGTTCTTGCTGGTTATTTATCATACAACAAATTCTATTATTTTATATAACCAGTATACATTAATTTCAAAAGTGAATAAAAATTTCAAGTCTCGGCCGGGCAGTGGTGGTGCACGCCTTTAATCCCAGCACTCAGGAGGCAGAGCCAGGCGGATCTCTGTGAGTTCGAGGCCAGCCTGGGCTACAGAGAGAGTTCCAGGAAAGGCTACGCAGAGAAATCCTGTCTTGAAAAAAAAAATTTCAAGTCTCAATCGTTTAATATCCTCATCTTGTAAATAATCTAAAATTTAAAATTTGACCCTAGATAAGAACCAGAGCCTCAGATAAACCAGGCTCAATTTTCTCTTCTATAAAATCAGAATAGTAAATACAGTTCTAATTAACGATATCATCACTATAGGCTATAAGAATCAAATGAGTATACAGAGTGAAAACACTTTGTAAATTATTTCAGACAGTAGAATACAGCATAATTTATTAAATATAAGATTATAGCTGATACTAGTAGTGTGATTTTTATCTTATAACTTGGTTTTATTAGCAAGTTACTTATAAGAAACACAGACTTAGCTGTTTCTATATGCATATTCCACAAAAAATGTTTCAAAACTTTGAAACATTTATTAAGAAATTCATATAAGGCTAAACAGGAACTCAGCATCTAGCATCACAACTCTTTGGGTGGGCTCATAATATCGGGTTTAGACACTTTCTCTGTCAATAAAGTGAAAGTATTCAGAAATATCAAAGCTTCTCTTTGCCTCAGTCTACTTATCTATCAAATACGAATCAAAATACTGGCCAACCTATCTCATATGCAATTAGACCACAATTATTATGATCTATCCTATCTTACTATGCCTCTAACTTGTTGGAAATCAAAAGACAAGAGTAGGATGCTATCATATATTCACTAACATTAGAACTGACATAAACCACCTTAATATTGGGTTGGAATAATTTAAAAATGCAAAATGCTAAACTACACATGATAGCTCATGCCTGTAACCTCAACATTCCAAAGGGTGAGACAGGAAGAACTTGGGTCTGAGGTCAGCCTGGGCTACGTAATAAGACATTACATCAATAATAATAATCATTATCACCATCTCTCTATTTAAAAAAAAATATTGTAGAGGGCAAGAGATCCTTGTGCACACAGATAAATCTTGAAGAAGTCAGGAAAAGTGAAACACACAGGCTTGTTTCTTCAAAGGAAGATTTTACCTGCCTTCCTGGAATGCTGGGAAAGGATGTAGTTTACAACCTGGTGATTCCTTGCTCTTTGAGACAGGCTCTACTGTATTCCCCAGAATGTATGTTTTGCTTATCCCAGACTCTTTCCCCCTAAATCTTTAGCATTGCTTCTAGGCCATAAAACCCATCCTTGAGTGACATCACTTGTGCTTTACAACAGCCTAAGTGACTTCTATGCCATCTTAGGGCCAGGCCAATCCGACACCCACAGGCGTTATGTCTACCACAGTTGTTTTCCCTAGACCCTAAATCTTGGGCACTATCTCTGAGTCAATAGTGCCCATCTTTATGAAAAAAGATGCGCTCATAAAGAATTTCAATGTAAACATGTATCAAGCTCTGCTATACTCATGGGATTGAGTTAACTGTTATCAGAAAACTTTTTCCAAAATCATGCTGAATTTAAATATGGCTAAAATAAACCAACTCAGACTCTCAGACTTCCCTCACCTGGATTGTTGCCCTGCCTGCTGTAAAGCCTGTGGGGACCCCCAACAAAGCATAATGCTTTTTTTTTAAAAAAAAAAAAAAAAAAAAAAAAACTAATCTACCTCACAGGAAAACATAATTATAAGTAGTATTATTACTACGAGTCAA